CACACTCGCAATCACACACTCACACACACACTCACACACTCACACTCACACTCGCACACTCGTACGCACACACTCGCACTCACACACTCACACTCGCACACTCACACTCGCACACGCACACTCTCACACACACACTCACACTCGCACATGCACACGCACACTCACACACACACACTCTCACACACATACACACTCTCACACACACACACTCTCACACACACACTCACATGCACACTTACACACACACTCACGCACGCACGCACACACAAACACTCACACACACACACACACACACGAAAAGAGCACCGCAACTTTACAATTGTTCAATTAAAATAAACTATTTTGCTCCATACAATGTGTCTGTTGTCTTTGATTAGCCTAAAAGTAAAATAAAATGACATTCAGAGGACTTAAAGTGAAAGTCCCCTAAACGTCCCGAATGGCCGCTGCACGTCCTGTGAACGTCAAGGGGACCCTACACGCTGATGTCCGGGGGACGTTCGCAGAGGCCATTTAGGGGGCGTCCTGAGGACCTTTTTTTGTTTGCTGGGGAGCCAGTTTAACCCAATTAATTATAAAAAAATTAAAAGTAAAGAAAAACAAAAGGACAAACTGTTATGACTCATAGGGAGGCTATGTTCACACACTCACTGTTTGGGAGTAACAACCGCATTTACTTACAGATGTGAGTCTCAATGTTCTCTACACGCAATTGCTGACAATAGTGTTTCGAATGCTGTCTGTATGAACAAGTAACTGAAGTCAAGCAGTGTTCTATTTGTGATTATTTCCTCTAATTAAAGCAAAGTAGTATAGTAAAGAGTCCAGTCGAGGCATGACTTAATCTGTTCAATCTGAACCAGCAGCAGTTTTTATAACTGGAGTAGATAGGATTATTTGAGTCAAACACAGAGCACAAATCTTGATAGGAGCAGAGAAAGTGCTTCAATAAACAAATATTGTTTGTGGTTTGCCCTGACAGATGCTTCGACAGATGCGTGTGGGCAACTTACATTTGATGGCTGTGTCCTTGTCTAATTTTGGAAATAATTGAAGAGAATAGGAGTGCAATGATTCTGACTAAAATGTAAATTTTAAATGTAGTTTTAATATTCTACATGTTATATTTATGAGAGCAGTAACTGTAAAGGGGGTATACATGTAATTACTACAGTTGTTACATGTAAAACAATTGCTATGCTAATTTACTATATTCAGAATATACGTGTGTATACACGTGAATACATGTTCCCCATACCAGTTAACATTTAGTCTGTGTTTTGTTTTTAGCATTTTAAATGTGTTTTAAAATGGCGGGCAAAGAGTTTTTTTGTTTTAGAATGTCATAAAACAATGACATTTTGTTAGAATGTGTAGCACAACCTACATAAATACATTCACTATATTTGTTTTCTTTGAGTGTAGTTTTCACATTGTTTGGAGGACAAAATTGGGCAGGATGTAGGGGCCCACATTCACAGGGCAGCTTTGGGTTAGTTTTCTGTAACCGAACTCACACCCGTAAATGTTCAGGACTCACAACCGCATTCTCGGAACACACGCGCTGTGTGAACGGAACCGGACTGGACAACTAGCTGTCTGTCGCGTCATCCAGCGCGAGAGAGAGCCACTCTGCTTCACAAACGAGCGTCTTCAGTAACTTACAGTGACGGAGAAATGAGCTGCGTGTCATCTGAACGTTTTAGACCCTGTCAGTTTTCCACTGGAGCCGCTCTCGTCAGTTTTGTGTTCTGCACGCGATTCAAATGCTCCGCTTTCCACCCAAATAAAAGCTGCTGTCGATTAATGAAGACCTGACGAAAGAACCCGCGGCTCGATTGGACTCTTGTATGGGATCATATTCCCGCCAAATGCATTGCAGTCGCGGATAAAAAAATAAGCGTGAAACCAACATGTAAAAACGCAAGCAAAATTATATTGCACAAAATTAAAAAATGAAAACAAAGTTTTCAGAATAGCAAACAATGGTCACGGATCAAAAAATAATGTGAAATGTGGACCCCATCTTGTGGATTTGGCCATTGGCTCTCATCTACATCATAATGGATGTTTTCATTAGCTAAAATATTGGAAACAATCTTCTGGCAATGCAAATCCAGGCCTGACATTGGTCTCCTCCTGTGATGTCACTGCACGCATCATCCATGGCCTGGAGAAGAGTGACTTGTTTGTGAGGGGGCCAATTGTGAGCCTTCCACCTCCATGTGGGGTAGATACAAGGTGATAAACTCTGGATGGGCCTGAAGCCATGATTGCTCTCAGTGCTGTTGCGAGGAATTCTGGGCCCATTGCACTGATTTGCTGTGGGGCCTCCTCAAAATCACATTCAGTGGGGGGTGGTTGGGCCCCCCAGCGAACTTCGTTCTGGGCCCCTCTCCTCCATGTCATGGCCAGGTTAAAGCCTGCCTCATCCATAAATATGAATGGCTTTCATCAGCTTCCAGCTTTATCACCCTCTAAAAAGACATTTCCAGTATTGTAGGAAAAACAAATACTGATAACAATGATATAGAATTTTTTGGGATGATTTTTTTCTCCCAACAACATGCATCTTGAACCTGGTCATATCTGAACATACTCAGTTGCTTCACTTTCATAATCTAAACATTTAATATTGTTCATCATTTTCATAAAAAACTATCTTCAAGGACTGGTGATTTTAGTTCAATGAACAAAAGATCTTTGGTTCATGTGTATTGTATCCAAGCATTTGGAAAAAGTGTTGTGTTTTGAAAAATGTGCATTCTGATCATCGGTTGTGAATTATGTGTCTAGAGTTTTGAAAAATGTTCTGTTATTAGTGCAAAAATGATTGTAAAAAACTAAACAGCACCCAAACACAGAATATTCTTCTCAAATGACGTGGTTTTATTGCCGGCTTAGCAAAGCCAATTAAGTAACAAACAAAGATCGATAAACAGAAAACAACCAAATCGTCAGGAGAGGGCAATGCCAAATGAATAAACTAAAGATCTTCCCAAGGAGTTTAAACAACAAATTACCTACCAAAAGATAAGCAAATTAAAGACAGTTGTCTTACCTCTCTCCCTGACTAACGTAAAAACAGGAGAAAAACAGAAAGGGGGTAAAACCCAAATAAATAGGTGCCCTTCTCCCTACATGGTTTTACTGATTATCAAATGAGCACTTCGTATTCACACAACAGATTCATAGATTACACTTTGCTCAACACGTTGATTGGGATAGCAGAGGGACTCTCGCCGAGCTCTGCTTCTCTGCAGCGTTACATCGGCTGTTATGGTATACAATATAAATTATGTCAAGGGACGTAACATGATTATTGTCAACATTACTGTTGTTTTGCAGTTGCTGGAGACAAGGTCAACGGAGACAAACACAAAAAGAGCATTGTGGAGAACGGAAATGTTGGAGCTCAATGTAAGATGAGGAAGATGCACACAGGATCTACAGTGAGGTATGGAGTCTGCTGGGACATAATTGCATCTGTTATTTACTGCATTTGTTTGAAATCTTTAATTCACATTAGATGTTGTCTTTTTAAATGTTGAAATTGTTTTCTGTCTTTTTGTTTTAGGTGCTATTTACTATTTTCCCAGAGTAAAGACAAATGATCAATTGTTGGTTTAAACTATATGTTTCTGTCCGCCCCATGGTCTGCAACCAATCACATCATTCACCTGTAAGGTTTTTGGGTGGGATATATTCTAAATGTAACAAATAAAGTCACTTTTCTGTAACAGTTTTGGGTGGGATAAATCACAAGTTTACCAATGAAATGACTTTTGAGGAAAGTCTGTGTGCTCAGTGGCCCAATAGCTGTCTGGTTTAGGGGTGGGTTTAGTTTCAAATCAACCAATCCAATTTAACGCGAATGACCAAAAGGGGAGGGCACAGTGCCACAAAGGTGTGAATGTCCCCTGAAAAAAAAATGTTTTGAGGGGATTACTTGCCATGGCAACAAATGGCTGTTGGACGGAAGAATACCTCAGTAACATACATCCGAATTGGTACATATTTGGCAATATACGGACCATGATATTTCCCGTGTCTGGTCAGTAATACTCCCGGATTTGTCCAAAAATCTGCGGTGTGTACAGGAGTCGTATACGCCTCTTCATGCAGTAAAAACTGCAGTGGGCTCTCGCTCCTGGAAATGGGCAGCTCACTTAGATATGCATTCACCTACAAAGAGCAATACAAAATGTATTACAATCTTTCCTTCAATATAACACACATTTATGTGCAACTTTTTTTGCACATAAATGTGTTTATTTGTGTTTTATGTGTTTATTTTTGTTTATAAACGTAAATTAAAAAAAAGAACTTGCTGCACAGTCAGACTGCATTCACAGCTAAGCATTCATTTCATCTTAAATTATATTAAACTGACTTTAAAAAAACGTAATCTTGTATAACTTATTTGAAAAAGTTGAATATTGCTGAACTTATTTTGATGTTACAGTAATGTATAACCATGGCATGTCATATTGATTATATTTTTTAAAATGAAGCTAAAACATTAAAGAATATTTTGTACTCTATATAACAGATGTCAAATAAAATGTTATTTCTAATATTGCTTTTTTTTATATGAGGGAGAAAATAATTTACCTCCTGTCCTACTGGAGAGGTTTGGTGTGTCTGGTGTTCTTTAGTCATGTTTTCTTCAAGACTTTCCCCATGCATGTCAAGCAGGGATGCTGCGCCTCCGTCGCTCTCTGTGCATGTCTTTGGTAACACTTTACAATACTGTTCCATCGTTGATGAATAACTACACAGGAACAAATGACTAATGCACTATTAACATTCTAGTAACTACTATTAACTAACAAGAAACTCTGATTAACGATTTAGTAAGTAAGTGCTCAGATGAAACTGGTAGTTCACTATTAGATAATCAATAAATAAAAATAAAAAATAAAACTACTATTTTTTCATATATCCTGTAAAGCTACTAAGAACTACTGTACACAGGTTCATAATATTAATGTGAATTATGCATAATGTATAATTATTTCTAAAGTGACGATCATGGTAACCCACTAGTAATGACTGAAGTATTACCAAATCCTTCTAAAGGAAATACTGATTGCTTGGATCAGTATTCTAAAGTGAAAAGCATCATAACTCCCTAATATTGGCTGGCGTCATTGTAAGCTTTTGAGATGCAGTATCTTTACAAAAATGTGAGGGGTGTACTCACTTCTGTGAGATGCAGTATATGTAAGGTTCTGCATAGTAATGACTTAAGTGTTACTACATCCTTCTGAAGAAATTACTAATTATTTTGATCAGTATTCTAAAGTGAAGATCACGGTAACCCTTTAGTACTGATTTAAATGTTACTAAATCTAGCAAAATTAATTACTAACCAGAATCTTACAAAAACCTCAAAAGTTTATAATGATTTCAGTCATTACTAGAGAATTAATTATGTTATTCACTTTAGAATACTGATCCAAAAATGAGTAATTAATCATTCATTTAGAAGGATGTAGTAACACCTGAATAATTACTATCCAATACTTTACAAAACCCTCGAAAGCTTACAATGATTTAAGTAATTACTAGAGAATTAATCATGTTTTTCACTTTAGAATACTGATCCAAATAATTAATAATTCCTTCTGAAGAATTTGGTAATACTTAAGTCATTACTAGTGGGTTACCATGACCTTCACTTTAGAATTGATTATACATCATGCATTATTCATATTAATTATGAATCTGTATACAATAGCTCTTAGTAGTTATTGCGGAGGTATGATAAATACTAGTTACTGATTAGCTAATAGTGAACTACCACATTCGTCTAAGCTCTATTACTTACTAATTCATTAATCAGAGTTTCTTGTTGGATACTAGTAGTTACTAGAGTGCTTATATTGCGTTACTCTAAGTTCTTGTGTAGCTATTCATTAATGATGGAACAGTATTCTAAAGTGTTACCATGTGTTTTATAAAGGGGGCTCTGATTCGTTTCTCTTTTTCTCAGTGTTGTTTTCTGGTGCTGTCATCTTGTTCAGTTGTCTCAGCAGCATTTCTGTTGCTCATTGTTTAGTGGCTTGATCAAAAAAGCCATCTTTATACTTTGGGTCCAAGATCGTTGCCAAGAGGTACAAAGGCTCGGGTATATGCCATTAAACCAGTGCTTCAGCCTCCAGCAGAGTAGCTTTTGTCATCTTCACCCCGCTATCTGTACTAAGACTCTTGTTCAGTAAATGTTTCAGAGCCTCAACAAAGGGAATCACGCATGAAGCTGTTGCCGTGTGTGAACTCATTTCTCTCGTCACTTCTTCAAAAGGCGCAAGCAGTGTTACTGCATTTTCAACAAGGCCCCACTGGAATTGGCTGAAAAATGCGGGAAGGTCGTATTCTGCCCCATATGCACCAAGTGCCACTTCATTGTATAGATCGGAGAGCGAAATGTCAGCAAAGATCGATAATGTCTATAATGATAATATTAAAAATAGCATTTATCAGCCGATACCGACATAGCTGCCGATATATTGTGCATCCCTAAATACGATTTAAGTAGTAAATTGTGTTCCTGTTTTATGTTAGTGTCACAGCTTACGGATGTGCTTGTGACTCTTTAGCTCCGCCCACAGCACGCCTCCAGGAACCCGATTTCTTCTGTAAATCTGATAAAACTGAAGACTCTTCGGAAATATGAAGGATTCATTACTACTTTACAGGTACTCGAGATCAACATGAGATTGCCAGAAACTGTGTGTTATATCCGTTTTAAGGTGATTCCTGTCTGTGAACTTCATTTAACACATATGTGAATACATATGTGGTTTTTAAGGGTTACTTTATGTCTGAAACTCTTTCCACACTGAAGGCATGTGAAAGGCTTCTCTCCAGTGTGAATTTTCATGTGAGTCTTAAGATTTCCTTCTTGTGAGAAGCTCTTCCCACACAGTTTGCAGGTGAAAGGAGTCTCTCCATTGTGAACCCTCCTGTGGCTTTTAAGGGATGCTTTATGTCTAAAGCTCTTCCCACACTGATCACAGGTGAAAGGCTTCTCTTCAGTGTGAATTCTCATGTGATATTTAAGACCACCTTTTAGTGAGAAGCTCTTCCCACACAGTTTGCAGGTGAAAGGGGTCTCTCCAGTGTGACTTCTCATATGGGCATTAAAGGTTACTTTATGTCTGAAACTCTTTCCACAGTGAGGGCATGCAAAAGGCTTCTCTCCAGTGTGAATTTTCATGTGAGTCTTGAGATTTCCTTCTAGTGAGAAGCTCTTCCCACACAGTTTGCAGGTGAAAGGGGTCTCTCCAGTGTGAACCCTCCTGTGGTTTTTGAGGGATACTTTATGTCTAAAGCTCTTTCCACATTGAGGGCATGCAAAAGGCTTCTCTCCAGTGTGAATTTTCATGTGAGTCTTACGATTTCCTTCTTGTGAGAAGCTCTTCTCACACAGTTTGCAGGTAAAAGGGGTCTCTCCATTGTGAATTCTCATGTGGACTTGAAGGCTTCCCTTTTCAGTGAAACTTCTTCCACACTGTTGACAGGTGAAATAACTTCTAGTTCCTGTCTTTTGAGTTCTTTTTCTTGAGGAAGTTTTTTTAGTCTGTGAGCATTTAAAAGCTTTTTCTCCAGATTTGAAATCATGATATTTCTCACACAGATCTTCCTCTTCCATTTCAATCAGTATTTCACTCTCCTCTTTCAGCGCCTTCAGATCTAAGGTGAGAACGACAAATACAATAATAACAGACATCAAAACATTTAAATATTTTAAGCATTAAAAACAAACATCATATAAGCTAGATGCTATATGCACTAAGCTAGGTGCTATCTGTAATCTCATAACCTTTTTGCAATATTAAAATATTTTCCAATA